CTGAGTAGTTTAAACCAGTGTGTTTTTCTTATCCCATATGGGCTTTCTAGAGCAGCTGTTTAAGTCCTGAAGGTGGTTACTTCTCAATATACTACTCTCTTGATATTCTAACTTCCCCAGTTTCTGTTAAGTGTCAGATACTGTTCATTTTCTACATATTTTTCTCTCCATAAACATTTGTTCCCCCTCCTCTTAACATGTCTAGATCCTCCTCTGTTTCTTTCCTTTTTTTTCCCCTCTCCCCTCTTTCTTTCCCCTTTCTTTCCCCCTCCCTCTCTTGCCTCTCTGTCCCTTTCTTCCTCTTCCCTTCTGTTTTTAATTTCAATGTGTCCATGCTTTGTTGCCCCAAAACTCTGCTTTGTTGCCCCAAAACTCTGCTCCATTCCTTGTAGCCACTTGGAATGGCAGGGATGCATGGATGCCATCTCCCGCAAAGTAAATTTATGTGGATTGCTCTGCTCTTTACGTAAATGTCTTTTTTAGCCCTGGTCCCCGTGAAATGCCGTTGATGCTCTTCTGTCTTCACTGTTTCCATGGCAGCAGAGCCCATCCTTTTATGACTTTCTAATCAGTGGCCTAAACAAAATCCAGAACTGTCATAATTAAAATGTAAGACGGTATACAGTATTTTTGAAGACTGGGTGGTATCATATGATAAGAAAGTACTTTGCAGTTAAAAATGGGCAAGTAATTAAGCACCATTATCTTAAATTATGACACTTATGAGGTATACCGTGGAACATAGTCCTGAATATAGCAGAATGGTAGCGTCAAATACAGTTAATGACACTGTTCCAGAAGTACAGAATGTAATCATTTAATCAACCCAGAGTTACTGCAGCCTGATCTTTAACTATATATATATATATTCTTCCTTACAAGCACTTCTAGTTCAGAGATTTTAGCTGTGTGTCTTTGCAATCAGATCCAATTTGGATTCTGACAGAGATTTCACACTTGGAGATGGTACTTACGAAAGCTAATCCAAAATCCAGATCTAAATTGTCTGAAGCCTCTGGCATATTTTCAGGTCAGAATCAACATTTTAACTGGCTTAAGTTTTTCAGTATGATTCCTGATTTCCTTCTTACCTCTACCCCCCACTTCCAAATGACTTTGACTAGTAACTGTGAAGGTGTTCCCCAGCTGGAAAATGTCTGAGCTTAGGTCATTAAGTATTGACTAAGGACTAGAAATATAGACACCGGTTTTTATAAATCTTGACCAAGATCTACATTTTGAAACCTAATATAGTATCTCTGCCAAGCTGCTTTTCAGTGAATTGTGCTATCTGTAAATTGAAGAAAGATGTGCAATTTCTTTCAAATTCATGTATTCCTCTCAAAGGAATGCAGGTATTATTATGGACTATCGTACAAAATAGTATTGTGAAACAGAAGATCAGTGATAATACTCTTTGATTATCCCCTGCATTTTTTGCCAGTTTGGATAAATCAGCAAAAACAGCAGAGGTCTAACCTATAGTTTAAAGCCTAGAATTCCTTTCTTTTGAATTTATTGCTCCCTTTTTAATTAAGATTTAAATTACCTGTTATAAAAGTAAAACCTAGCTCTTGCCTACATGCACATATCTCAATTTCCATAGAGCTGATTAATCACTATAAAATACCAATGACATATCAAAGCTCACCTAAGCGAGCAAGAATGAATTTGCAGCATAGGATTTACTCCCTCCAAAAGTTCACGTTTGCATATTAAGTTCCAATAATCACATCGCATAGTCACATCAAATCAAGTCTATGAAGATGACTCCTCAGTCTTCAGTGCTCTATTCAGCTTCAGCTCTATTTCCAGTCTTTTTCACAATATTGGACATTTGCGGTGAAGTTCATAACCCAGACAATTTCACATTTTTCCCTCAAAGATGACAGGGTTGTGTTTGTTACTACCAATGGCATTAGAAACCTCAAGGCACAGAGGTCTCAGACATTTTCTTGCTCTAATTTGAAATTAGAACACAGTTGCACAAAACAGCAGCAATAATATGCCAAGAAGTGGACTACATGAAAATTGTGACATGACACATATTACAGCATAAGAACTGCAATGGAAAAATCATCAATCATCAGAGCTGTATGAAATTAAATTCATTAAAATACGCTTAAAAAGGGAAAAAACCGTGAGCAGCTGGCATAAGTGGCTAGGGGTGTGGGGACAAGTATGAGTATGCAAAAGGGTCTGAGTTGAATTTCTTGAGGGAAGGGAGTGATGTGAGATAAAATTAAAAAAGAACGGTAGTTAGAGCACAGAAAATATGCACCCAGAACCATCTCATGGGTCATTAGGCTAATCCTGTTCTTTTCCAACACTAAGAAAAAAAATCAAAACCTTCTTCTTGGAGAAATGGCACTGAACATCCTGCTAGGTTCTGCCTTAAATCTCTGAGATGGCCAGTCCCGAGTTATCGTGAAACACATCAGCTCAAACAATCCAATTTAGATAACTGGATTAAAAACACCCACCCAGTCCCTTCAGCTCCCTTCCCTCTCTCTTCCCTCCCCACCAGCCCCACCTCAAAAACAAACAAATTCTGTGACAGGCTTTTTTTACATTTTTGGTTTTATTGGGAAGAGGGGTTTTTCAGCTGCTATGGTGATTGCCACAACATACACTATTTAGATAGATACAAGGTTTTACTTTTACCTCCCCATCTAAATAACATCAACATTTTGGACAATCTTCCCTAAAAGTGTGGTGTATGGAAATCATACTTACCTGCTTTCTTTTGCTATACATGAACACATAAAGAATAAAAATGTCCTTCATTTTTTATAGATTCTGCAACTAGTTGAGATGGTTACTGCAGATGGCTCAGTTATAGCATGTTGGCAGACAAGTTTTAATATAATTTCTTTTTTTTTTTCTGCTTCTTTGAATACTAAACCAGAGAATGAGGAAATGGTAGATTTAAAAAGCTTCCTTAATTTGCCTTCTTTTCCCTTCCCGTTTCCTGAATTATATTCTTACAGGAGAAGCGTATGTAGAACTGTCTCTGTTGACTACATGGTCCAGATGAGACATAATTAGAAGCCATAATATATAATCCATAATCATATTCTATTAATGAGAAATAGTCAAGAACGTTACTGTACTTCAGTATGCACTTGTAATGCTCCAGTGACAGCAGTGACTTTCTGCAGACTTTTAATGTTGCATCCAGGTTGTCTGCCAGAATCATTTAACGTATTTTACAACTATGCTTATTAGAGCTTTTAATGGAGATGTTACATGTAATAAAAACTTCAATAAATAAGTTTTTCAAGTTTTGTAGTCAAACACTTATAAAGAAATATTTAGTCCTTTCAAAGTCAGCACCCAATTGTACTATTAGTTTTTAAAATATGCTTATATATCTGTAAGGTAAATTGCAATCGTATGTCGCTAAATCCCTACTTTCAATCTGAATCTTCCCTTCTCATTTTGGAACCAAATTCATCAAATTCCACCTCTTTTCATTTCTTCCTTTTCTATTTGATGTGAAAGTAAAGTAAAAGACTATATATCCTAAAAACTCATGATGGCAGTCTGGCTTTTTGCAAACTTTGGCACTTCATCATCATTCATTTGATGTGTACACTATATATATATACTGTTTAATCAGATAAACGGAATTGCCCCCAAAAAGCAGATCTCAAATTCAAAGATGGGAAATCATTGCCTAACGACATCTGTGGGCAAGCAAAAAATTGCCCCTGGAGAATCTTCCTGGCTGGAAGACATTTTCCTTACACTGAAGTTGGCTAAACTTTTTCCATGCCAGAGCAAATCTTGGTGCAAGAAGTGGCTCTGTGTGACTGTGCTTTTAATTTTCTTAGGCATAGCAGGTACTTTCCCAGGTTAACCCATTCGTATGCTTCCAAATGAAGGTAACCTAAGCCACTGGTAAAAATATTTCAGAGGAATAATGTCCATCTGCTTTCAGAAAACACAGCAAGAAAATGTTTTTCTAAGCAAATCTTTGGAGAATTATGAACACTAGTGGGCAGGGAAAGATGTCATACTTAAATGACTATGAGAACTTTTTTTTCTTCTATTTCTGGGTAAACCCTTGCTTGTTGCTTTTAAGATTTATATATGCCTGAATACATTATCACATTCATAGAACTGAAGAAATATTTCATGGTAACTTTATATTCTTCTATCTGTGAGTATGAAATCCATGTGGATGAAAAAAGTCAGAGAAAAAGATGTCTCAGTGATCTCAATTTTAAATGTCTTGACGTTACAGTTATCTCCACTTGCTGTTCTTGAAAATTTATTTTTCCCTATTTGAACCACCAAAAAAAAGTCTTTAGGGAATGGGAAACAAATGTAGAAACAAAAATTCTTAGTTAAGCTTCATGCTGATAGAATTATTTAAAAAAAAAAAACCCTCCTAACACTAACACTTCTTAAACATTGGATAGGTAGTACTGGAAACTTACTCCTTTCCAACTAGCATTGGGATTTTAGTGCAGTTGGTTGGTAATCTGAACAGCACTCACAGAAAACAAAATCCTGTAGCAATTCACGGGCTCAGCAAATGTAGCATTCCCACAGGGGTAGTGGTGAATTTTCCCAGTGTAGAACACTGGCTCACAATCTTCATGTTAATTTTGAACCCATAGAGAGTTGACCAGGAGGAAGGGCTATAGAAGCTGTTGATGCACTTACAAAAGCAGCTGTCCATGGACAAGTCACCCACTGAGTGGCTGATTATAAGAAGATTGATTAAACTGCCGTTACTGTAGTGGAAATATAATTTAAGACAATTTTTTTTTTTAAAGACACAAGACCCCTATGCCAGAAAAGAAGACACATAAGAAAATCTTACGTATTTTATTTTTATACTTCTGTTGAACACAATAACTCATGATGATTTAAGAGGGGAGAGCATTTCACTGATTCTCTTGGTTTCATTTCTCATTTGTAGCATTTTGGTAGCATTTTAGCATTTGTAGCGAGGGAAGAGAAACTGGAAAAACTAGTCTGAAACTCTATTAATAACCAACTTAATTTTATTAGAGCAAATACAGTTGTGAAAACTGTACATTATACATTTTGGGTTTGAGAATTATAAATAGAGAAACTTATAGATAAAGAGTTCATTCTTTGACAGCAAGAAACTTTAAATAGACAAAATGACATTAAAATTAAGTACATTGGCAGGCTTTGTTGTGCTGTCCAAAATGTAGTGTACAGTATAACAACCAATTATAAATAGCCTTTCATGTAAAATACAGCTGTGCACATTTTAGAAAAATACCAACAATTTGTTTGAGCTTTGTTTTAAAAAAGCTTATAAATCATACATATTTATAAATGGTACTAACATGCTTACTTAAATTTATAAATATTTTCATAAGCTTTGTTACCCATTATTTCCAGAGCATAAAGTATTTTAAATAAACATTTAATAGGAATTAAATATGTCAGTTAGTTACAAAATTATCCCTCCCCGTAGGGAGAAAGGGGGGTGATTTCAGTGTTGGATCGAACATTTTGTCCATTATGTCAAGGCTTACACAGTAACTTTTAATTTTTTTTTCTTATTTAAAAATCACTTTCCTAAATTTAAAACACAATGTTATTTTTTTAAAAAATAAATATACAGGTTTTATTTTCATTTGCTCTCTTTCTGCTTTCTTCTTTATCCACACTGGTCAAAACACAGGATTCTCAACATACTTCTGTAAAAAACACCACGGTGTTACTGCCCTGCTTGGAGCTGTTTGGCTACACAATATTCAGTCCACACCTATAATACTTTACTAGGCTGCATCAAGAGATAGCTAGTGTACTTTTTATTAAGAGTGTTGCCCATTAATCCATGCAAACACTTACAAAGTTTACAAACAGCTTCAAAAACTATCATCTGTATGAAATATTTTCTAATAGAGAAAAAATAAACCATAATACAAGCCCTTCGCTTTTCATAGCTTTAAATTAAAATATTTACTTTCCAAATGACCACACCACATATATTTTAAGTAAATAAGCATGCTTTTGATTAATATAGGGTACAATAATTACAGTATAATGACACATAAAAGAAACATGATCACATCATCTTAACAAAGGGCTGTGAAACTACTTAAGACAAACTTTCCAAATGAAAAAATTTGAGGCTTTTTTAAATGCTGAGGTAAAATTATAAGTGGACTTCAAAGACACTGAAGGCATCCGATTGATAAACAATCACTTAACAGTTCTAAATGCTCTACCTGAATGTATTCAACACAAAGCTAGTAGTTTAAAGTTATGATGATTTATTATGAGCATTTGCTAGCTTAGCTGTCATTGGCACTGATTTGCACTCAGACAAGACTTCATTTTAATGGCTGGCAAAATACCTCAGTGCTGAAACATAATAATTCAAATCACCAATTATCACAGCACCAGATTTTTGGAAAAAAACAAATAAACAAACAAACAAACAAAAAACCAAAAAAGCAACCAAACTCAACATGCAAACCCTGTATCTTGTCTCTCTTGGATTACTCTGATATTCCGCTTCCTCTTTGTAATGTGCTGCTACTGCCTGAAGAATTTTATGTTTTTATTATGAAAAAATTGCTTGTTAACAGCACAAGCATTTGAGGGTTTTCAGGAAGATATCAGTGACTGTAAATTTTGCAGTTATGGTGTATTACTTACTAAACCTTAAATTAAAAAGACTGTTGTGATTTAGGAAAACAAACTTAAGAACTGTATCTTCGGATGAAAATCACAGAGCAACGCTTTCACTTTCTGCTCCTGCTGCGAGGCAGAAGCGGTGACTTTCTCCAGGTTGGCCTACATACTACGTTATGGCTATACATCAACTTTCATAAACAGCGAATGAACAGAATCATGCACAGGCAAATGAAATTCAATCTCCCCGAGCACGGCAGGAGATGTTAAAAGCAGCAGGTAATGGAATAAGACTGGTGACTGATGCTGCTAACTATTTCTTCTAATGAGAGAGGAGTGAACGCTGGAATCACTTCCACAGCAACAGAATCCTCTGACCACATTCCTCTGGCAGTCGCTTGCCCATCTCCCCACTAAAAACATCAGACGGCAAAATAGTAAGGCAGCTGTTAGCTTCCATCAACAAAAAGTGCAGCTCCGAACATTTCCAGTTTAGTCACACTCTGCTGGAAGAGACGGAGAAGCCAACGCGCTCGAGCGGCGGGGCTGCTTCAGCAGGTCGCTCTGCGCGTTCCCGCCGGGGCTGCTCGCTTCAGCCCTCGGAGCACCCCAAGGCCACGAGCCAGCAGCGCAGCAGCCCCTGGCTGAATTCTCCGAGTTTCATCTCTCTCGCGTCCCATCCTAATCGCAAGCCTCCTTCCCTGTGTCTGAGTGTGACTGGCGCCATTTAAAAGGCGGATGACACAACTGCAGAGAACTGTGGGCTAACACCACTAGTTGTCATGACTTCACTGAAGGGTCAAAACAGTTACATAATTAAATAACTATGTTGAATCACATTCAGGCATAGCTAAAATTAAAGTAGGAAACATTAAAAGTATGCAAATAAATCTTTATAATTTGAGGAGGGGAGTCTTAAACTAAGGTGAGATAGTGATTTTATAGGAAAATGAGACCTTTCTTACCTTTCCTAATTCCAATCAAGTTAGAAAATGGACAAAAAGAATGGCTAGACCAATATTCAACAGCATTACCAGGGCAATCATGACTGAGTTAGAGCCCTGAAAATGAAATAAAACAAAGATGTTAAATCAGTGCAATCCTCCACACAGTGCACCACAATGAACACAATCTGACCGTACCATCGTTAGTACTTTTTGATCTTGATTAGTTTTTGATCTTACTAGTTTTTGATCTGAATGATTACATAAATATCAAAGCTACAAATTCTGCTCTAGATAAACAAGAAACATAGCCACTACTCTTCATATGCCAGTGTGCTAAATATCATCTCTGCAAAAAATGAACTGGATAAATACAGGTGCGAGCATGTTTTTAAACTGTTCTTAAGCCCATTGAGATAAACTGATAAGAGACTATACAAACAAATGAAAACGAGCTATAAAGATATAAACAGTATTAGTTTAAAACAATCCAATACAGAAGAAAACCTTAACTACTTTCAGAAATGCTTCTCATTCTTGCATAGGTTCCTTCTCTGCTGCTACCATCTTCCAAAATAGAGTAAGGACTTTGCTGGACTGCATCTTGTCTGCAACCAAATTAAAAACTGAATATGCAATTTTCAGTGTATCCACTGGAAAGTCCTCTTTTGATAACTAAACGGAAATAATATATTGACAGTTTCCTCTATACTAATTTCCTCAGAAATGTTTCTGCTAAGGATTAAAAACTAATTTTGATCTACTTTGAAATTTGGTGATGAATCCTTACCTTACAGAACTATTTGGTGAGAAAGAGCAATGAGATATTCCTTCCCTTCCCAGCTAGAGCTAAGCTTAGCTAGAAATAGAACTCTTAATCACTACATAATTTTTATTCTTTCTGTGAAGCCAGAGAACAAATATTTTATATTTTTAAGCCCTTTGGCAATGTTCTTAACATGGATGCTTCCTGATGAATGACTTGAAATAATGCACAGCTACTGGTTGCATCGGTTGATGGAAATCTTCAATTCTCCAGTCCTTTTAACATCTTTGATTTATTATGAAGAATTTCCACAGGTTATGCTTATATTTTGAAGTGCCCACTTACTGTAAGTTGAAAAGAAAATCCTCGTACTTTGGCAATACTTCCCTAAATCACAAAAAAAAATCCACCAAAAATCTATGCGGACAACTATATTCTGAGCTAGCTAAAGATGACTGGTTTCTGTGAAAACGAATATATTTTATTAAAAATTATTATCCATTTTTTTCACTTTCTGTAAGAGACATACCTTGTAAAATTTCATTATGCTTAATGGGATTCATAATATTAGCTATATAATTACCAGAATGACAAAAGTACAAGAACTTGCTGTTACGAACTTCCTGCAGCCGTTTAAGAGCAAAGATACTGAATAGTATTTGTGTCATTTCTATGCCACATGGTCTAATCCAGAAAGAGTCTCATTAAACACTTCCTTCCAGAACACTCAGCTAAGGTGGTGGGCGAGATACGGACCACCACTATGTTCTTGAGTAAGTCTCAAAATATGCTCTGTTCCAGAACAAGTCACAAAATACACTTCAAGCACTGCTTAAAGCTTGCGGAAGTCTAAATCCAACAGGTACCTCAATTTTAGGTCACCGAGTTTATCTGATAGTCTTCAGAGTCACCTGTAAATATGAGTGATAATGGTACTAGCAGCAACGTTTGCTTTTGCTTAGTGGCAGAATATCTAAAATCCTCACTGGGCAATTGAAGCTAGGGCTTCATGCCACCTTAGTTGTAAGGACTGTGAACACCAGTTCTCACTTACCAGTGCTATGTTTTAACCATCAGGTCACAGAAATGAGGTGAAATCATGTTTCTTCCTTCCTACTGAATGTGATCTACTAGGGACACTAAGGGAAATGAAGCACGTGGGGACACACACATAAAAGAGAGCACACCTCTCGGTTACACTCTGAACCACAGAAGGGAAAGCAGCCTGGTTGTAGCAGCGTGTAACTCTAGGTTAATTTTTTCTGTCTCTTTTTGCTACAGACACAATTTTGCTAGCTTAAAACTTCTATGCTTTTCTATTGTGAAGGAAAGCTGAATTGCCACCAAAAATTCAGAACTGATGATTCCCATCAAATGCATTTGAAAACTGTGAGATCTATGCATGAAAGCCGTACTGGAAAGCTGAGCAACAAACATGTTTTACTTAAAAAAAAATGGGAAATCTCTAAGTTTTTCAGTCTGGGAATGCCAGCATTAAAACCCCTCTATCTAAGCAGTTTTGCAACCCCTCTGCCCAAAACTCTCATGATAAACCTCAATAGCACATGCATATTAACGCTATCTATCTTTTAACAGGGAGACAGCATTGTGATTAGACTATTACTTTGCACTCAGGAGTTCTGGATCCAGCAACTGTCTCTGATCTCTGTGTGACCAAACTTTGTGACCAAAAAATCTGATCTCTGTGTGACCAATCTTTATAGTTTAGCATCCCCACTTACTTACAGATTTTACAATTATATTGAGCCAGGATTTGCAAGGAATTGTAAAGGAGATCTGTTTAACAAGATCTTTTACTGTATTAACATACCAGTAAAATTCACCTGGATTCACCTGGATTTGCATGTCTAACGCCTTGTGTCTTTGAAAATAAGATTGACAGAAATCAAGCTGATTTACTCCTACTGAATGAAACTTTGGGCCTAATGGGAGTTACTCCATAGAGGTCAATGGAGCCAGGAACTTTCTTCTGAAATTCACCCTAAACAGCACCCTGATAGCTGCAACACAGCTTTTGCCTGCATGGGACATTGGGACTACAACTCAAATAGCCCACAGTAGAATTAAGGGATATTTGTAGAGCACAGGGTTGTTCTGCTATGATCCATTACTTATTCTGTACACACCTATGAAATGAACATTTCATACTTTAAGACAAATCACCATAAATAAGACTTCAGTGTCCTGCACAGGCTTAAAATAGCAAAAGCCAAACTTAGTCCAAACAGTTCGAGAGTGACTAGAACAGGTGCAATAAGAAGCTGTAGCAGAAAAACTCCAGTCTTAAAAACTGCCCTTCCAACTTCCAGTAAGCCAACCCCTTCTGTAGCTAAAATACATACGATTAGCTTTTAATTCTGGGAGGGAAGAAAGTTATTTCCTAGAATGTAGTGCCAGGAAATAAAATGACTAGTTTTATAATCCCCTTGCATTAGGAATGTTTATTAACTTTAGCATAAAGTTCTTGCCCAGAGGTTTTGCAGGACAGACTAATACTGATCTGTTTTTCCTAACATCATGGCAACTACATCCTATACTCAGTGCCTTTTAGGTAACAGAGAGATGATTGTAAAAGCACACTAAATAGTATTCAATACAACGCAATGATTTCAGACACAGACAGAACACAAGCTAAAGCAGTCTATATGTGGCTTACTGCTTGACCTGCAAAAACACCCTGACCATATAATATAACACCAGTGCCTGTGTGGCACCTGACCTAGGCCAGGGCACGTATCGGTCAAGTGAAATGTGTATTCACGAACAGACACCACAATATTATTTTTTCAGCTGTGATTCCATCCTGCTTTGTGCTCTAATCCAAGATAATCTCAAGTTACCTCCCATTCACAGGGGGCTAGGAACATGCAAGTTGATAGTGGGGCTACGGGCTGCTAACTAGTAAACAGAAACAGTTCGTACTGGTTTGTGCTAAGTGTCTCTCTGAATTCCTTCTACTGCAGTAAATATAAGATAATTTGAAGTTGTCTAATGCTGAATGAAAAAGGATGATTTATCTCACATTTACTAGGGTAGCTGCCTACATGCAAACAGCTATTTTGGAGCAGCCGACAAAAACTGACTTTGTCATATTGCCTTTATGTGTGTTTTCACCTTCATGAAACTATGACAAGGTCCTAGGGTCTTTCTTATGAACCCTGAAATGATTCTAAACTTTTAATTTTTGAACAGTTGCCTGTGTATGTGCAAATAAGCACATACAGAAATACATCTTTATATTTTATGTGCAGTGTAGGCTTAAGCACTTGCTGATGCTTTTCAGGTATAATGAGAAATAGGGATACTTAAGGAATGAACACCTTATTACTAATTTATTGTGTGGATACTTTTCAATTACATTCTTATGGATGTATAATATTTACAGAAAATATGAAACCTCAATTATATTACTATAACAGCTATTGAAGACTTCTCCACAATTAAAGTTGTTCAAAGTTCCTGATACAGACTGAAGTAAATGGGTATATTTCATCCAGACATGAGAAATAGGTTTGATTTAGATAGATGGAAGGAAGATTTTATACAGCACTTTCAGATAATCTAATGAAATGCTCAATAAATGTCATACATCATTTTTTTTTGCATTCCAAAAACATGTCCTCTCTCTTTTCATGTTTCTTCCTAACAAATATATTTTTAAATATCAATGAAACATGTCAGACAGATTGGTTTTCAGAACTACAGCAAAATTATTTCTCAGAATGAATATAAGGCAATAACATTAGTGACTAAAACAATATAGTTCCCTAATATAGCCCTAGAATTCTGAAGTCTCACAACACTCACGACTGTTTGGAATAAAGAAAAACAGACTAAATTGATTTCTCTAATCAATTTCTCTAATAATTGTGCAGTCTTAGTCACTGCGTAACTCCAGCTTACTACTGAGCTCAGTCCAGGAACATGCCACTGGTTTTCTGAATTTGGAAGGTGATACTGAGAATCAAAAAGAATAACCTCCAGGCAGCATTGACAGTCATTCTGTACCAAGTCTTCCCCTCTGTGCACTAGGCCAATGGTCTATTCCTTAGTGCCTTCATTATTGTAGGATTTTAAATATGTAAGCATGTAGGAAATGCATTCTATCAGACATATACAGACATCTAGGGAAAATACATATGACACAAATATCTACATATCCCTTAAAATGCTCTCATAGTAAGAATGACTTTCTACGCTCTAATTCCTTCCTTTTTGACATGCTGATAAAAAGAGAATGCAATTAGTGGGCTCCAAAGGCAGCACAGGGACAGTTCCCAGATGACCTGTAATGTCAGTAAACAAGCCATAGCTGATGTACAGTCTCTTATTACTCTTCCACCTTTTCTGATAACAGGCTACAAGCTCATAGCCCTTATCCTGGTTGTTCTGGAAGCCCAATTTATTGCTGTGTAGGTGCCCACCTGGCTTGTTAAGATAAAGATTCCCCCACTCCCAACCACTATTTGATTTGCATGGTAGAGAAGAAAAATAAGGAAATTTTCTCACCATTTATTTCCACCAGAGCAGAACAAAAAATGCAATTCAAACTAAAATTCTAGGTATGGTCACTTGGCATTTACAAGCCTTGCAGCTTTGTGTTACCCAGTGTAGAATTAATTTTTATCTGTGAAGATTGAAAGCTTAAAGGGTTGACATCAGCTGTAATACAGATTTTCAGATTAGAAAACTGCTGTCAACAATTAGTCTGATCTGCATACAGAACTTCTCTGAGTATATCCCTGCTGAAATACAGGCCACCATTTTGGAAACAGTATCAAACTACTCAGGGACAGCTCCTATAAAAAAAAACCCTGATGTTACATTAATTTATCTCATTATGCCAACCTCAGACAAGACTTAAAACCTAAAATTATCCAGTTTTAACTCTCAGTGGCTAGTTGCTCTTATACATTAGCTTGGGAAACTTACCAAGTGCTCTTACAGAATGTGATTTAAAGCATCAAGCAGATTTTGTGCACTGAACCGATGTTGAATTTGAAGACATGCTCCAATCCTTCTTGAGATTCTTCGTGGGACTTTCTCTTAAGCTTCTTGCCCCTTTAAATCTCCTATTTATCTTTTATTATTATTATTATTACAGAAGTAGTAGCACTGGTGCCACAAACAGATAAGACAGTCTTCTCTTGCTTAATCTCTCCTCTTGGTAAATTTAAGGGTTGTACTAACTCTTCTGGTAGCAGCAGCAGATTGGGGGTCACAGTTGTCTCCCTTGTCTCTTGATTCACCACCCTTTTCCAGTTTGCCCACTGTGCTTCAGTATATGACCTTACATTTATTTAACTGCACTGAAACATGCATAGTTAGTTATATATCCATGCTTCTTAACAGGTAACTTGGTTCAGTTTGCATTGGTGATCTGTTGCCTTCATTATGAATCCGTCTCCTGGTCTCTCTGCAAACTTCATGGTTAACACTTTTATGCTTTTTTACATGTCACCAGTAAGAACGTTAGTAATGCAGCACTACAGATTTTGTGCAAGAATAGTCTCACCACAATAATACCAAATTATCCTTTTATTTTTTGAGCACTGCCAGCCTTTAACAATGATTTTAATGTGACATCTGGCCTTTGCATTACTCCAGCTCCCTTGTCAAAATAAATAGCTATGTAAAAGCAAACCAAATAACCTCCTAATTTCCTCTGTCACCTGAAGATGTCAAGCTAGTTTGACAAAATTTATCTTTACAAAATTTATCTTTAACATGAATGGAACTTTTATACCTCTTTATTTTTAAATTCTTTTTGAATGAATTCTGACATCAGTGTTTTATTTGTTTCACCTGAGATTAGTGCTAGTGCGATCAGTACTAGTTGGATGTTACTAACAGGGTCATCTTTCTATTCCATTTAAATAATAATGCATTCTTATTTTTCTGTTAGAGTACCAAAAATGTTTCAGAGAAATAATGTTTATTTAAAAAAATAAAAAAAGAATCACTATCAATTTCTCTAGACCTAGAGGTTATCTCTAGGATCTACAACTAATGTTTTCCTGAGTTTCTGTTGGCCTGGAAGTAATTTTGACATCAGACATTCTAAGTTCAGTATCTGGCTTTTTTTTTTTTTTTTTCTAACACAGAACAGGAACGCTTATTAGTTTTTTTCTCCTTTTTTCGTAACTATTGATAATTCTGACATTTCTAAGTAGTACTGAGAATCACAGTCAAAAGGATCTGAATTAATAGTTTTAAATTTCCTTCTCCATTTCCATTAGAAAAATCTAATTTTCCCTGTTAGTGTAGCAACCTAGCTTTTTCAGAAACAAGTATTTAAAACAGTATATATTCTGCTTTCAAAGCCTATGGTTAACACAGAGAAATAAGGAAATGAAAAAAGGAGAATTTTTGGACTGGGCCACATCAAAGGCCAGTGTTCTGCCCTCAAAAGTAGTCACATGTAGACATTCAGGGAAGAAAATGAGATCAGAGCACATGTATCTAGTGATACCCCCTGAAGACTCTCCAGCCTCCAACAAATTATTGCTCAAGAATGTCCAGAGTGGTAGAGGTGGTGGTATCTTTGTATTCATAGTTCTTAAAGGACTTTTTTTCTTTAAATACATCTTTTTACCACTGGAGCCCACACACACTTTTAGCATTCACAACATTTGTGGATAGGATATCCACAGTTTTTTGGCTTTTTTGTTGTTTTGTCTTTGTTTTGAGCCTGATGCTTCATTTGATGCTCCCTAGTTCTTGTAGTGGGAGAAAGAGAGAACAGTCATGCCCTGGTCTCTCTGAGCTGTTCAGTTTTACAGAATTCTACCATATGCTCGTGCAGTCGCCCCTGTTGCAGACAGAAGACTCTTTATAAACTTAATTATTCATTTTCCAGATTCTGCTCTTTGACTTGGCTTCACCTTCAACTGACCTTGGAAAAGGCTTTTTGTTAATTTTAACGTACATTAAAACAACCAGAAATATAAAAGGTTTTAACTTGGTAGATCGAAAGATATAGAGAACAACACATTCCATTTAAGTCTGATCTTTAATAAGAACTTGTAGAAGGTCTGTACTGATGTTGTCTCACAACTCCTCCCCCAATACATAACTACTGTGTAGCTCATATGTCAAGACAAGGTGTTTGGCCTGAGATGTTCACTGGTCTGAAGTTGTAAAAATGCCACACATGCTGACTGGACTAGATCATACCGTATCACTTTAACTGAATGACAAATAATTCATTGTTATGAGCAGTTTTCATGTTTTTCAAAATTATCCTTCATTAGGCACATGAATAATAATCCCTGTGTTGATGCTATTTACATTCGAGTTGCATTGCATAAGTATATACAAGTTATAAAGCTCCTCATGGCAGCTAACAGTGAATCCTTTTGGCCCTGGAAATAGTAATGGAGATAATTTTTAAATTTTATTTTTAATTGGATTTTTGGAAGAAGCTCCAAAAAAGCAGTTATTTCTGTATCATTACAACATTTCTGTATCATTACAGAAGTCTAACTGTAAAACTGCTAGTACTGCACACTTATCCATTGAAATACAATAAATATCATTTAAAGGAAAAAAAAACACATTTGTGTGTATATATACACACTAACACAATTGGGGTATATGTGTATAATACTCTTGTGCTCATGGATACATTAAGGATTTCGGAAGTCTGAGAATATCTGGCCACCCACTGGCCCTTTCCCATTTTTAAGAAAAGATAATACTGGAATGTTTGTTCTCACTCCAGTCCAGCGCAATGGGTTCTATCTCACATTCCTATGGAGCATGAAATTTTGACCTAAGTCTGAGCTTCCCTTGCCTATAGGTTGGAAGGCTTGACAACAGGAGGCAAAAAGGCAGTGAAAAGTGAAAATGTTTCTTGCAGTACTTACCGAGCTGTTTTCCACTTTGTTTTCCACTGGTGAATGAGACTCATTATTAGCTGGATTCTTTGGTGCAGCATATTCTGGTTTCTTAATTTTTGTGTCAGGTTTGTTTTCTTTGGCGTCTGGCTTACCCCCAGATCTGGCAGGACTTGGCTTCTGTGCGGGCGGTAACCGTGCGAGTGCTAATGGTGACGGATTGACATACTCGTCTTCTTCCCTGAGCTCCTGTGGAAGCACTGTTGGATTCACTTTTACATAATAACCATGGTAGTGATCATGCAGCTCCCCATTCTCAGTGCTGATGGGATTGTGATGGGCTGAAAACTTTGGCTGATGTTTCACAGCTATTTCCTCCTTCACCGGTGCTTTTGAATATAAAGGCTTGTTAACCGTGGGTGTTATATTCTCAGTGGCTAAAAGCTTTTTTTCTTGACTGAGTCTTGCCCCAGAGGTGGAGCTTTGCCTTTTCAGCTGTTTGGAGGGGGAAGGCTCAGAAGAAAGAGGAGGACTATGCCTTGGGCTTGCTTCTGGGGTCCCGGGCGGTGTAGTACCTTTTCGATAAAAGTGAGGTGACTCTTTTGGGGTAGGTGGCTTTTCCTGAACTTTTTCTTCAGATTTTTCTTTCATCTCCACTCCCTCTTGAAATTTTTGTTTGATATAATCAGGGCCTGAAAAATAGTGTAATAAAAATAATATAATTAAAAGAAAAATAAGAAAAGTAAGATTTGATTAGAATGTCAGCCTGGACCACTCTGCTAACATAGTAACATAACTAAAATTCAGTGACTTCTATACTAGTTTATTCAAATTCACTCAGTAGTTGAGGTAACTGTACTTTTCAGTAACTGACAGGAGTTGTTATCGGTCATTTTGTCTTTCTCAGATTTGCAAAGGGTCACAATATATAAACTGCCTCTGAATGAAGTAGGAGGAAATAACTTCCTCCTACTCAATAGGAGGAAGACTGACTTAGCTTACCTATCTGTCATTTTCATTTTCTTCTGAGATGTGTGCTCTGCTTAATTACTGCATTTTTCTTTTTAACTTCCACTGTCATGACCATAATATCTGATATTTAACAATCAGACTTTGTCTCCCTGATTCAACAACTTAGCATATGAAGATCCAGATTAACCACTCACATCTATAAAACAATCCTACTTGGAATCTGGAAAGACAGACATGTTCTCTCACATTCACTAGCGAAATCATGGAAGATCACAGAATCCTGGAATCATTATGGTTGGAAAAGACCTTCAAGATCATCGAGTCCAACCATAGGCCCTTCTACACCATCCTGCTATACTTGCAGAGCAACAGTATTAAGACCATCTTTCCCCAAATCCTGGCTAGACACCCATGAGCACATTCACAACTATTGAGGACTTGCGTACCAGGGTTTTAACGCTGCTGCTCACAGTGAGACAAGCTGACCATGGTGCTTTGCTCCAGGTTTTTGTTTGATTTAACAGTTCAGTGGTAAGATGTGAGAGAACTCTCTATTTAAAAGACAAAATTACTGTAAATCTGCCTGTATTGTGGATGGCATTTTCTACATTTCTTCCTAGAAGCAACATCCCAGATTCCAGGAAGAGCTTCTGTGAGAAGTCAGAAGGTGGAAACAACAAAAATGCAGCAATCTTGCTATATTTCTTTTTCAACAATAGCTTCTGCCAAATACACAGCAACAGTTTTACATTTCTAGCTTTGGTAATATTGCTATTTTCCTTTGATTTTTCATCTTCTGTAACTGAGGCTTATTTGTGTTTTATGTCATGGAGAAATTCTGTGCCCAGAGAAGAATGACTGCACTCGTTTTTCTGCTTTTGAGTTTAGGAGGCTCTAGCTGTGTTAGGCAGATACAGTGTTTTTACAGATGTCAGAAATATATGCATCACTACACAGTGCTGAGATGGGAGGAAGGAAGAAGAAGCAGCATGAAGTTTTTGGAAGCTATTGAGTCATCCAATAAGTGAGTATTGCTGAGAATGAGAATTACTTGGCATGAAATTTGTTCTGGGCAGGAAAATCACAAGGTTTTTGGTATCTTTGAAAGCCAAGAATGGAAATAGGGAGTTGCTGAGAGAAGACTGGACTTCAGACAAGTCTGGATTTGTTCTTCATGTGATGTTTGAGGAGCTAAACCTGCACAAAGGGAGTGGACTATAGTGTTGGTTCCCATGGTATTTTATAACCTTCGCAATAAAAGAGAGAAGCAAAACAACACAAATTGGAAGCTGCATTATATAAAGTTACAGTTACAGTAACAATTTTAAAAATTTTCCATCATGTAGGGAATTTCCTTCTCTCTATTCTAACATGCACGGGATAATGTTCTTTAGAAGCGGAAATATTTTTAATGTGCAGAAACTCTGGGTTCTATTTTTTTCTTTTTTTTTAAATAAAATTTCCACAGAGAATAAATTAGAGAATAAATAAACAGAAAAAGCTAGGTAAAAGAGCCCAGCCTAGCATTGAAGACTAAGCCATGAAATTCTCAAATTGAAATAATTATTTATTATGGACTCATCTACATTAATCTGTTAGAGTATTCCGTCACAGTGCTGTAGTGTTGTATTCCCGCTTTTCAGCTTTACAGTGTCCCTAGGCTGTTCCAATGGCATCCGACCTGCACGGACTCTCTGCAGCAAGGTGTTCCTGCTGTGCTTTTTGTACTTGTCCTGCTTCTGCATTACTTAGAATCCTGTGACAGCTCTCCCCTGACCAACACAGGTGAAGATCTGATATTTACTAATATCTGACAGCCCCTGTCAGCGTGATGGCACCTTGCTAAGGGATACACCTGGGCCTTGGAGATATCAGCCTTCTCTGTGCTTTCCTATGACCATCTACTCGCCTCCCAAAGGGGACAGAGGGGACTCTGCCTTCCTCCGAGATCTCCAAACTCCTCTGCAAATCCTGAAAAAATCAGGGAATCAGGTTGCAGCTGCCTATATCTCCATAAGAGACTGATAAAGACAAAAATAAATAACATAACATAAAATAGCATAGCTTTAACTGTAGCTCGCCCTAGAAATTAATTTTTAGCAGGTTAGTAGTGCCATATTTGTACTGGGTTTTTGACAGAAATCAATCCTAAGTGACACTGAGCTGTCATGGAAGGTCATAGCCATCTGCCTCCAAGTCAAGTCTTAGGGTGTCTGCTCAGACATCCAGCATTTGTCTTAATGTAGCACAGAAACTCCACCACAAAAAATACACAATATGTGGCTACTGGAGATATATCCCTTGCCCCCAACCTTGCCAGGCAGGTCTTTCCAACACTTGAATTCTTGACTCTATGCTGAAGTTAGCTTTGGAGACTGTCCAAGGCCTTTTTAAATGTCTGTTCACTGTATTCTGTACAATCCGCTTATTCACCTGCCTGAATCACTGATTCCAGGCAGAAAGAACACAGTTCCCACACCTTTCTGAGGACTAAGAATACTTGTCAGGATTTATCACGCCCCTTTCCTTAGAGGCATTGTCTAAGCATGGGAGACTTGGCAACAGACTTTCTTTTTCTTCAGCCTAAGTGTACCCTAACGCATGAGACTAAAGGAAGCAGAGCCTCAGGAATTTGCAGAAGGAGTCATTAACATTTGATCCTAGAAGATGGCCCAGCTGTCTGTTCTTAATAAGGGAAAATGGTTTGAGGATGGGAAGAAAGTAGGATCAGATTATCTCAGTAATAAATATGGAGTTCTGTTCTCTAGTTTTTAGACCAATAAATCAGCAGATACACTCCTGTACATGTTTTTTTTCTGAAGGTGCCTGAGGAGAGCCTCGTCTGGAATGCAGGACCAAAAAATGTCTTATAACCAAGTAAAGATAAGTTTTCTTTGCGTGTTCTTTAATGTTGTCGGCTGGCCTAGCTACTGAATAACCCAAAAGGATCACCTCTGTTGACTGAAAGCTACATATGGGCCAGCTGGGTCCATACACAAGACACTGCAATGTCAGTAGTTGGATGGCACCATTGAAGTATGAATTAACCAGGAGTTGAGAGGAATAGTCTCTGAAAGTCAAAGGACTGGGTACATGTTGCAGACGTATGCGTGTGGAGGTGGATACTATAGTGAACTGGTATGTCTGAGTACACTCATAGTTCTTCCAAAGCTAAAATTTCATGTGGAGTTCTTGTGCAACATGTCCTTCCTCCTGGAAGGTCTCCAGTAAACGAGCTGACAGCATGGCCAGCCCTGTAAATGAGAAGAGTGCCTTGGTTCTGCCACGGCATTTTTTGAGAGGCGACAGCTGCATGCTTTTCCCCATGGCCTAGTGAGGTATATATATTGTCAGCATGGGGCCATTTCAGGATTGTGACTGAAGAAGTGTCCCAAAATGTCATCTTGCAAGGCAGTGTAAATGCAGTCTGCGTCCCTCCTGCCTTATCAGCTTGGGACTGAAAGTCCAAAGCTCAAGAAGGATGGCAGAATGCATCTAGCATAGTGAGGGAGAAAGCGTGCATATACATATTTATATATACTTGCAGTAGTTGATAGTCCTGCCTATTCAAACCAGCTGGTTTCACCAATTTTGTCTTCTTCTGGAAGAAAAAAGAGTGTTGAGAATATGGGAAAAGGATGGGACTGAAGGAGCATGAATTCTGGAGGGGCCTTGCAGTAGGACTGGTAATCCTTATAGGAACAATTCTGTAATTCATAGTCAATGCAAAACTCAGTAACTCACCATAAATCTTCAGTTTAATGAGTAAAGTGATTCCTCTATTCTCAAAGTTATTGAGGTAAAATTATTTTTAAGTAAAAAAAGGGGCTTGTATGATAGCATAATAAACCAAATGAAAAGTCCTGATATTTTATGGTATGTTGTATGACACTGCATTTTCAAGTAATTCAAGAACACTCAAATAATCCATTTCTGTAGTTTTCTGTTTCTACTCAGTAGTTACTATACAGTAACAGTTTCTATACAGTAGTTCTGTAGTAATTTACAGAACTAAAATATACCAGAATAGTGAACTGAAAATAATATTATATAAACTAAAATATGCTAGAATATAGTATATTTTCAGTACTACAGTACTTTTTTCAGTTGTTCTTAAAGAATAAATCCACTGTAGACTCTTGTGACTTTCCATGCACTCCTACACAACATTGGACGGATTATAACTTCTTACTTGCAAAAAGGTACTACGTAACAGATAATCAGGTTTAAGCGTTTCTTCGACCTAAAGTTATTTAACCTGGGAATTATGTTCATATCATGAAAATATTTCCATAGGAAATTTTTTACAGTGCCAAGTGCAATCCTTCTCAGCAGAACTATTAGGAGAAACTTCTCTAGATCATGAGGTCTCAAGGTGGGAGAGGCAAAAGCTTTTTTCTGACAGTAGATTTTTTCTGAACTAAGTTTGGGCTTAGCACAATACAAAGGAGAGGCTCTCACCTTATTATGACAAAAAATGCCCCATCTGGCAGCCCTGGGCTCCCTCTGACTGAAGTAGGCTCCTGAAAGACCCTATAGGTAAGTACAGGCTATAGCACAGCCAGTTCCCTTGGTGGAAGGGCATTCTCAGTTGTTAACTTGTTGGCTCATGCACAAGAGATGAAGGTCCTTCCGCTTTTCCTCCTCCCATGTGTGAAGGCCTAGTCACGATTTTTAAATCACTAAAACGTAATTTGGATGCAAGGTGGTGTGGATCTCT